CAAGTTATATAGTTATATAGTAATATAACAAAGAAATAAATATATAAAAATAACTTCCCTTTCATAGTCACCCCAGTGGTACAGCGGTATGTCTGCGGACTTACAACGCTAGAATCCGGGTTTCGATACCCGTGGTGGGCAGGGCACAGATAGCCCATTGTGTTGCTTTGTGCTTAACTTCAAACAAATAATCCTTTTTATAACACACTCAATATATTTCTGATCGTAGTATTTTTCGCGGAATTTAAGAGTACAAGATGTTACTTAAATTTTCATTTCAACTCATGAATGCAACTTACAGTAAGTTTTCTGTACACTAAATAAAACAAAAAATACTGAAACCAATCAAAGCCTTTTTTCCCTTTTGCTAAAACTAATATCAACCAATATGCATAATACAAGGAATTAATCAAAGTGTTTCTGTCCGTGATAAAATAATCCTGGAAATTAAATTAATAATGTATCGACGAGATTATCGAGATCCATCGCCAGACATCTCTCTTTTTGTTACGTGAAATATCTTACGAGTCATCAGCCTTTTATATGTATATATATATTTATCTAATAATAGGGTACCTTCAAAATACCATCCGTACAAGTCTCCCAATGGGACAGCGGTAAGTCTGCTGACTTGGAAGCTAAAATCTGAGATTCAATTCCCCGTGGTGGACACAGCAGATAGCTCAATTTGACTTTGCTATAAAACATCCACACAGAATTCGAAATACCTTGTTTTCCTTCATACAGAGCGGGCGCTCGACTCGCAATCTGGGGGTCACGGGTTCGAATGCCCATCCCTGAACATGTTCAGCCTTTCAACAGTGGGGCGTTATAATGTGACGGTGAATCCCACTATTTGTTGGTGAAAGAGCAGCCTAAGAGTTAGTAATAGTTGGTGTTGACTAGCTGCCTTCCCTCTAGTCTTATACTGTTAAATTAAGGACGGCTAGCAAAGATAGCCCTCGTGTAGCTTTGAGTGAAATTCAAAACAAACAACACCAATCCTTTATACGGAGTATTTCTCTCTGTATCAAAAACGTTTTTGAATTCTCTCTCAATCTTCGTTTGTTTGTTTTAGTGTTATAAGCTCTCTGACTCACTACTAAGTCACCAGGTGATTTTGTTTGGCTTTTTAGTGTATGATTTTGTTTTTTAATGCTTCAAGTAAAGCGTTCATGTACGCCTGAAACCAGTTTGTTGAAAATTTACATTGACGTTATGGACGATGCAATCATTAAGGCCTCATAAAGTTAGGAAAAACAGAAATTAAGAAAGGTATCCATGATGCTCGGGATTTTAAAGTTTTTTTAAACATTGAAAACTTCCTCTTATTTCTTCTAAATATCTTACATAAAATTTTTGATGACTGTTGAAAGCATATATTTTGTGTCAAGGCACATTTTATAACTCTGATGTGTTCGAAACTAAATGCCCTAAAACACATACATACAAAATACGAAATAAATCACGATCTTTAGCCTAATTCATACCACAGGGTTCTAAAAATTGGCTATTAACTTATCTTACTATACAGTTCACAAAACCAGCTAAACCTACTACAAAATATAATTCACACACCAGGTATGTATTAATTACATTAAGAGGAATCTATAAATATATATATATATGGTTAATTATTACTCTTACCTAACTACGTATATTACTTACTATGTATTATTAGACATTTTATGCTGGCTTACATGAAATAGGAGCCTTTTAAAAACTGTTTTTATAAAACAATTCAACTGGATGTAAATTAGAAAGTGTTGTAACGTGTTGTCATTTTTTTTGTGTGTGTTAATTTCTCTTGAATTGTTCGAGTCATTGGAACAGAAAATATACCCCCACAATAGATAGCTCGAGGTAAAAGGGGCGTATTTTCTGTTTCTTCAGTGAATGATATGTCGTGATGCATATGAACGTTGATTGTGTTTTAGCTCAAAGCACCACAATAGATTATGTGCGCTGTTTCTGCTGCAGAGATCAAACCTCTAATTCTAGCTTTATAACTCTCACGCTGAGCCAACGAAATATACTGTGTACGTTGATAATAAAATACTTATAATGTCAAATAGACAGGAAGATTTAACTAGATGAAATATAGATTGTGTTACTTTTCTGTTGGATAATGCCCCCCAGTGGCACAGTGGTATGTCTGTGGACTTATACTGCTAGAAACCGGGTTTCGATACCCGTGGTGGGCAGAGCACAGATAGCCCTTTGTGTAGCTTTGTGCTTAATAACAAACAACTGTTGGATAATAGCTGATACAAATAGTGTCAAATAGACAGGAAGATCTAACTAGATGAAATATAGATTGTGTTACTTTTCTGTTGGATAATAGCTGATACAAATAGTGTCAACATTTTGTTTTCTGTAGGTTTACATAAATAAAATGACTTGTAATCGCAATATTACGCTTACGAAGTACATGTCTAGATGGACAACATACTTACAGAGACACAAGTTTTGGTAGTTGAGGGAAATCTGTTGCCTTTAGGAGCGGAAAATGGTTTCCAGAAAGATCTCTGAAATAACAATCGTTGAATTTAGTTCACAGAATATTGTTTACCGAGTTTTAGGTTATTGAAATAATCTGTCTATTTTTTAAATTGAAGAAACAAAACTTTTGTGAGAGATCAATAAATTCACCACACTAAATGGGTATAATTATAGGATAAGTACAACTTTAGTGTTAGCATTATTATTCAGAAGGTTGTTTTTTTTGTTAATTTTAAAGTTACCTTTGTCTTGAGAAGCAATAGTTTACAAATTGTTAACAAAAGATAAACAGACATGCGTACAAAATTTTGAAAAATAATAGAATCAATTTATCAAGAAACTTACAAAAGTGTTACGATAGATGGAAGCGGCTTGGGCACTGAACGCAAATTCTGATGTTCACAGAAAAGATGGTTACCATGACAACGACAGCCATTTGTTATTTCTTGAAATTCTGTTGAAAAGACACTAGCATATTATACATGTAATTTCAGACACAATGAAATTGTATTTTAATGTAATTTTATAAAATTCATAAGGTAATATCAGTGTCTGATACGACTAATCTTTATATAATATTTATGTATATACTAGTAAAAGTACCCGGCTTCGTACGGATCATTAGGTTGATATATTTAACAAGTGCGTAAAATTTAACATGAAAATAAAAATATCGATCCAATTTTAAACATAAATCGTTTCTGAATTAAGCCATTTTCTTTTATATCACCAACGTTTTTAATAATAAAAAAACCTCTTTAATCAACGGAAACTCAAAATTAAGAAATCAGCAAATATTTTTCCAGTCCTGTTATTTATACATTTCATTTTATACTTTCCGTACATATAATAACAACAATATTAGGTTATACTTTTGTTGCTAAGCAGCATGACATAAAAGTCATTGTTGTAACGCATTGTTACCAAAACGCACTGGCTTTTCTATGTATATTAGTTGTTAATCTAACTGATATACTACAGGGTATACTATGGGGCGCGCATTCGCGCACACCTCGTGGATAAGATAAGTAATAATACCCAGGTGCACACACTCAGGGTCCACTTAGTATGGTGCAAAATTTCAGGTTTCTATGTTCTCTGTATAAACTACAATTTGGAAAAGGTAAAAATATATCCTAATAAAATAGATATCTGACAAAATAGGGCACACGCAGTAGTGAGGGTACATCGTATATCATATTTAATCTCTAGTCACAAGTCTCTCATATGTAAGATAATTAGAATTCAAATGTCAAGAGCAGACATGCGTCATCAAGGTCACAAAGTCCTATAACTAAACCTATAACTTATCATAGGCAACTATTTTTGGGAAAATAGTTGTCTTAATAAAACAAATAACTCAGGAAGTGAATTAAAAATGAAAGAAATTACTACAATCAGATAACATGTGTGTAATGAGTAAAACATTTCTGTTAATCTTATATTCCGCTCTTCTGACAGTAGTAATTTATTAACTGCATATCTAAGATTCATGTATGAAAACGGAATGATAGCATTAAGAATTAAATATTTTAACCGATATCAAAATTTCAGCTTTTATGAATGAACGTAAAAAAACATTAATTTGGGTCATTTTTTGATAATTGCTCTAAAACTTATTACTCGCAAATTTTTGTTTGATCTTATTTTAAGAGTTGTTGTTGACTTATAAACTAAATATTTTATGAAAGTTCATACCCTCTCACACAACACCTGAAATACGTCCGATCTATTTACGTTTAACAGGAATAACGACACGCATATAAAATCTTCATATCCCTATTTCATAACATAGAAAAAGTGTTGTATTCTAAATATGAGCTTTATTTCTTGTGACTCACCACAACTCGCCGTTTTTTTTTCACGGTCCTCATCCGGTCGTTTAATAAACATATCATCCCAAAGTTGACTTCTTAGCCGATCTTCTTTTCAGACAAATAACAAGCAAGATTAGTGAAAAATTACCTCACAAAAACTAAATAAGTTACTTAAATGTGATAGGTGTTGTAAAGTGTTCATAATAATCTTATGCAGAATTTCCGTCGTTTTATAATGTAGCTCATCTTAAACTTTTGGTTTATGGTTCAGTTTAATGAAGCAAGAAGAGCAAATGTTCATTAAAAAAGATTAATAATATACAGTGAAAATAATAAAGTTTCATTTTGGTAAATTAAATTTCAGGACATGCTTTCCCATATAAATAGAGCCTATGAAAACCCACTGCATCACATATAAAGCTCTATAAATTAATATCATCCAAAAAGGTGAAAAATATTACCATATTTCAAATAGTATAAGCCCTTGACAAAATCCAATTTACCTTATTGCATGAATGAAGAAAAACATGAAAATAGAACTAACTTGTATCCACTTACGAGAACATTAGGGTCACATATATTTACTTTCATCAATTACACGAGTCTTCTTTGCCAGTTTTTTTTTAGCATGATTTCATTCTAAGGGACAGGAATTAACTTGAAGTAAATCAACCTAATCCTTAACATATAGAAAATACTTTGTGATGCATTAGTTAAGCAGTCACATACCAGTGACGCACAACATTGGTGGCAATGGTATCAGTAGAGTTCGTTCAGATTGCTTTCACATTCTATGCATTCTAAGTCAAAAATCTAATATCTTTTGATTACCTCAGTGCATCTAGCATGAGCAGTTTACCACAAAGTGACACAGAATAAAGCATAATGAAGTAAGATATAAAACTGATCAAAATACGAATAGACATCGAGGACCAGACACCGCTAAAATATACATTAATATATTTCCAGTAGCTCTGACATTCCATCAGCAATGCTGTATTACTACTACATGCACAATATATTCAAATACGTACAACAACTTAACTTTGAAATATTATCAACTATACTGTAATACTTATATATTCACAAGATATTTAAATATGTACTACAACAACAACTTAATTCTGACATCCCGTCAACAGTGCTGTATTACTAATACACTTACAATATATCTTAATATGTACAGCAACAATTTAACAGCGACATACCGTCACCAGTGCTGTTTTACTATACATTCATAATGTATTCAAATATGTACAGCTGCAACTTAAAACATATTTAAGATCTATGTGCTTACAATTATTTTTATCAAAGCCTAACTGTTACGTATTACAATTTTGAATGGTCTGAGACCGAGCTAAATGATAATTTACATTCAATAGTTAAATAAATGCCGATATGTATCCAATTTATTATATTTGCCAACAAGATTGATACACACAGTTTTTTTTTTGAATAAAAATTTGTTTTAATATATAAACAACAATACAATTTACAATAACAGTTATTATAAATAATTATTACAAACAATGATTTATATACAAACGTTTCACAAACTTACAAACAATATAAAGTCTTGTTTTTAGTCTGGAACTTCCTTGATATCTTATCGAGGGTTCGCGATGGACGAGTTAATTTCGAGTTGACGTAGGTACAATTCACTTAATAGGGAGCTCTCTGTGAAATTCACTGATCACACGCCAACTTTTCCTACCGGTGACGTTAGGTAATGTTTTCGTAAAAGTATTAATGTCCGATGTGAATCCGCTGAAGTTGGATGATTTGTAATGTTTGGAATTTATAAATGTTCCTGGTCAATATATATGAAGTCCCGATTAATAAGCGTTAATCACAGTTATAGCTTCTGAAGTTTATAGCACACCAACTATAGCAAACCAATAATAGATACTGTTTTTTGTCGTGTCGCGTTGGTTTTATTTATAGTCGTATGGAGAGTTTCTTAAAAATTCAGATTATGTAACGATACAAAGCTACATTAGCGTTTACTTACACACATATATTGTTGATTCTTACACTCGAGAATCTTCTACAACTTTAGAGAATAGGCGGGAGTTTCACA